GACTACCCCACACTACCGCACTAGGCACTATAGGCTTCCAGACGGCACCCCGACAGGAGGGTCCTGGTAGACCTTATTGTCGACCTTTTGATCAACTAGCACATCAGTTCAGCCCAGACGCTCCGTTCACAGTCCTTGGTCCCTCAAGACCTAAGGAATTGAGACCCAGACCCCTCCAGAGGATTCGGGTGCGACCCCTCCATATGAGGACCCAGGGTCGCGTCAGTTCAGTGTGATTTTATTTGCCCAAGAGGGGGGGTACGAACTGTCTACCCTACGTCCGTTGGACCTGCATGTCCCCAGGATCCCGACGCCCAAAGAACCAGACCACCAGTTACCACAACACAACCACCCCGACATATCAAACCACCACCAAAAAAACTCAACATACCAGCACCAGCACCACCAGCAGCAGCAGCAGCAGCACCAGCACCACCACAACCGGCATGAGGTCAACACAGGGGCTCTGGTGGAGCAGTTGAGGTGAATTGACCAAGAAGGGAACATGCCCATCCGATGCCCATCCGGGCTCCGAACGCCCCGGCCCATCTCCGACCCGGTGACCGGCGGGCCGTTTGGACGCTATACCCTAGGGATGGAATGATATACCCTAGGGCTCCAGAACGCTCCAGATACCTTCTGAGAAGGTGGGACTGGGGGTGGGTTTGGTTCTGTGGTAGGAGGGTCCAGTCATACCGAACCTGAGGAGGCACCTGGAGCCCAAACGGGATATGTTTATACCGGTGAGTTTTTGGTCCATTTGGCGATGGCCTCCAATATTATAGGCAGCATAATAGCGATGGGCCTCCAACTTTGCATGAACATGTTACTGGTGTAGGTTTCGGAGGCAGGACTTCTTTGAGATTCACTTAGAGGTTGTTTAAGTTGTTTTCCTCCAGGGTGGCTTACCGGTTCAAGCCTCATTTCGTGGTACTGGGGGAGTTGTTTGAAGCTTAGGTTCTTTAAAGGGAAACGCCTTCTGAGGCTGTGCATGTCCAATTTTAGGGCGAGGATCCGAAGGCTTCGGGAAAAGATACTCTATCAGGATCCGATGGTCATTCCCTAGGGCTCCTGGCCCACATCCTCAGGTTGGGTGGTTAGATCCCCCTTAGCACCCACCCCAACCACCGAACCGAAACGGAGGTGGGCCAGGAGCCCAAACGGGATTACTCGCGGAGTTGGGGTGGCGTGATTTCAGAGGTTCCAGGCGCCACGCGACTCGCGCAGGATCAGCGGTGGAATCACATCGGCCTGCCAGCGCTTCGGCGAGGACGAGCGCCAGCTCGAAGGTTCAGAGCTTCAGAACCCCAAAGAATTGCAGATTTACACTCCCTCAGGTTCGGTACGACTGGGTCGGCCGATCGGGAATCAGAGGGTGGCAGTGGATTCCATTTCGGCACGTGAAAAAACACAGGTTGACCTGGTTTTTGTAGTGTAAAATCTTTAGTTGCTGCGGGATGACCCACCTATCAATGGTGGGCCAGGAAGCCTAGGCCTAGGGATCTCCCATATCGGCACGACGTCGTTCCGTCCTTCACCCCTTCACCACTTCGGCACGTCCCGGCGCCGAGCGAGGCCTGTCATGACTTCACCTTCGCGCGGCAGAAGCAGCGCGCGGGGGAGGTGGACACCGTGGTCGCCAGGCCGCGACGACGCCGTGCGGAGCGATGCGTGCGGAACGGTCCCGATGGCTGTGGAGCGATGGCTCGCGTGAGGGACAGGGTGAGGAGCTCAGACCTGAGAGGGCATGAAGGGCAACCCACGATGTCGCTCGCTCGCTGGGAGTCCCGTCGTGGTTCCAGTTCGACTTCCAGTTCGACCGAACGAAGGGCCCCTGGTTCCTTATATATGTGGTAACTGGGATGCATTGGGGGACTCTTGATGAATAAAGCAACCATATGAAGAGGATTCAATTGAGCAACGTTTTTTTTTCAATTGAAAGGAGTCAGGCAGAAGTGGAACTTGTTATCTTTTCGCGAAAGCAAATGTGTGAAGCTTCTTGTTCTGCGAAAGCTCGCGAAAGCGCCCTGCGCAGCTTTGGAACATTTTGAGCCGCGAAAGCAGATCGCGAAAGCAGGGCGGTGTTACGACTACTGTTGCAGGAACCATACAAAACCTAAATCAAAGCTGATCCACGCGAAAGCTCGCGAAAGCTCCGCGAAAGCACCTACAGCCTCCATCCAACCCATGCCCTTTCCAGGGCCCAGGAACCTTTTGAAAATGCATTTGCTGCCATAGGCATTCCAGGCTCAAGAAACTTAAGCCTTCTTTGGCACTCATGCCCGCCCAAGACAAGACTTGGTTTGATTTCACTGCCAAGTACAAGCGTGACAGCAACACGCTTCGAAAGACAGCGGCACTGTTCCGATGCACCGCGAAAGCGTTCGCGTAAGCACCTTTGATAAGCGTGTGCATCGCGTAGGCACCCTCTGCAGCCGCGAAAGTTCGCGAAAGCATTGGCGAAGGTTCTGTTTTAGTGTATAGGCCCCAAGCAACAAAAAAAACAATGATCAATTGGGTGTTTTATTAATCAAGAGTCTACATTAGATGGGTACTGTCTTCAAAATTCAGGGTACACTCTGACATCACATGATTACGTGGATGGCATGGTCCCTTGGAAGACTACTTTCCTTTGGAAACAGGGGGGTGCCATCCACTTCCATGTGATGTGTTCGTCGGAGTGTACTACCCGGGGAGCTTGAAGCCCCCAAGAAGGAAAATAGACCAGTCTAGCGCCAGCCTGGGCGGGATCCACCGAAGTCACACACCCAATGGATCGTCCTTCAACTGTGCCAATATATCTTTCCCCAAGTGGACATGATCCCTCATGCCAAAATCGTTCCATCCACTTATATACCATGCATGAATTCCTGCGTGTTTGAAGCCAAGAATGACCTCCGAGTTGGGGTCAGGTCTGAGTCAGAGCCTCCTGGCACTGCCCAAAACAGGTGGTTGATGAACTGCAATCCAGGATAACCCTAAGATCCACCTGTTTTTTGTTTTTGCTGCTCAAAATTGGTGTCACTGCAACAAACAACAAGGTGTGAGCGCAAAACCTCAACAACATGTCTTTTCAATCTGGCTGTTGGTGGAACAGGTGGTTGATCACCCTAAGAATCCTTGCGCGACGGGGCCCTTGGAGTCCGGAACCCAACCATCCCCGGCGGTGCGACGCCGGGGCCCGGAGTCGGCGGAAGAAGGAGTTTCTTGGGGACGACTTGATGTACCATTTGCTGTATGTTATATATACCAGGACCCTCCAAGGGGTGCACAATGGAAGCCTATAGGTAGTATGTGCATCCCTAAGGGTCCAGGACCATCATCCGAATCGGATGTCCTTTGACCCCCCGTTCGACCATTCTCTGGAAGTACGTACTCACCTTCAAGACCATCCGAAAAGGAGAATGGGTATGTTTATGTTCAACCGCCTTTACTTGGGATGATTGAACCTGCTGTCGACTAGTACTCTTCAAGTTCAAGCACTTGTCAAGAGTAAATATTCATGGACGTGGAAAAGCACTTGTTTGTAGAGGAACGTGATCTTCGGAGGGCCATTGACTTGATACACCTGTATCAGGACAAGTGGACCACTGTCCGGCAGCTCGTCCAACAGCTCGTGTTTGGGCTGGACTGTGTGAGAGCAAAAGGGGTGAGACCTTCCCAGGATCCAAGGAAAGACACAGGTCGTGTTTGGGACTTCTAACATCGTACGAAGATCATGACACGTACGATGAACCTTCGCGCGACGCCGTGCGGCCGCGTGGGGCCGTCGCCGGACAGCGTGGGGCCCGGCCATGCAGGTGGGGCTGGATCAACAACTCTGAGTTGGACACCGAATACGCAGTGATCAAGCATCTTGGTCTAAGCAAGAGAGATGAAGTGACCTGACAAAAAGGACCCATGACCATCGGTTCTGAAGAAGCAAGATGCAATATATACCTGGATCACATCACCATCCATTGGGCACCCCTTGGAGGGTCCTGGTATAGGGTTCTTCAACCTTTGGTGTCTCGCCTCTTGGGTCTACCCTCGGATCACGGATCGAGTTAATGGAGGTATGTCAGAATGTGCTAATATTTGAGCGTCCGTAAACTCATCAGCCTACCACCTAACGTTCCTAAAGCCAAACTCATCAGTGGCACAAATCCCTTCTCTTGAGTCAGAGGCTATAGTGATTATATATCGTTTTGTTCAGCTAATGAAGCATTGTTTCTTTAGAATCATAGGGTGAAGTCTTGAGTACGGTGGTGTTTGGGCTTAAAAGAGCACTGAACCCTATATATAAAAGGCACAAATCCAATCCATCCTTTGTTGGTTTCTCGCCTTTTGCGTCGGGTCGCAGCCTTGGCTTACGCTTCGGTCGCCTCGAACACGGCTTCTACTTCGGCCGAGAGGTCGTGGCGGAGCCCGCGGAGTCGGGGGGATCAGCATCACTAGCAACAGAGGTACCCCAGGTACCCATAGGTCCCCAACACGACCCATGGGACTGCCATATATGCCGATCAATTGATCCCCGTGGCACCACCCCAAGTGATCGGCATATATGGCACACATGGAGTGTCTGGGATAGACTATCCCATACCCAGACGCGACTCACGAGTTTGCCATAGGCCGATCAAGCCAGACCCCCCTGGCACCACCCCAAGTGATCGGTAAATATGGCAGTCCCATGGAGTGTTTGGGATAGGTACCCCAGTAAGGTCCTATGATGTCCTATCTAAGGTCACTTAACCTCTCTTGGTAGCCATTAGGTCATCGCCGCCATCGCCTCCCGGAACGTTTGAGGGGAAATTTCTTTCCGCGACGCTCCCCAATGACCTCGAAGCTCTGTTGAGCCAATGCAAGAGAACTGGCCGCTCTCCCATCCCATGTGGAAGAGCAGGAGAGTATCACATAAAGTCCAAAGACTAGACGTGTGTCCTTCGTGAAGTAAAGGAACTCCCTTGCAGCTCCGCTAGACCATTGTTTGTATAGTCTTTGACTTCCAAGGTCTATGCAAGATGTCACCAATTTGGATGGCCACCATGGCCAATTTGGTGTATATGCAACATTATGCAACTGACCCGCTGCGCCGACTCGGCGCCGAACTCCGCGCCGCTGTAGTGACCAGGGCTGCCTCTTCATCTCCCTCTTGGAGCGACAAGGGCCGCTGGAAGAACAAGTGCCTGGGAGGAAAGATGAGGAAAGCGAGCGGGAAGCGAGCGAGCCCCAAGGAAGAACCAGGTCTTATGAGCAGCCCTTTTTGGCCTTCATGGCATGTGTAGCACTATAGAGAAAACCTCATCGGGTCCCATTTTGGGTCTGTCAAATCTCTCAACCGGAAGTGATTCGACACCGACTCCACAGACCTTGGGGGCTCCGAGTGCCGTTGGCCAATCCGACGGTCGCGCGTGGCGTGGGTCGTGGGCGTGGCGGTGGCGATCTGAGTGCCACGGGAAGTGAAGATCTTCGAGTGCATTTGCCGCAGCGAAAACCAGGCGGAAGAGCAAGATAGATGAAAAGCAGCAGGTGTGGCAGTTGGGAGAGCGTTGGGAGATCGATCGTCGTGTGAAGTGGTTTGTGGTGTCAACATCTTCTGCCAGATTGCACGGCAGCACACGACCAGCCAGGGACCGGCATATGTTGCCATGTCAGTGGTTTCCGTGGTCAACGCAGGTAACTCTGCCATATCATGAGTTGTTAAGGCTTTACAACGTTATATAAGGCTCTACATGGCTCTACCATGAGCTGCCATGCATGAGTTGTTGACATTTCGGTGGTTGTACAATCCTAGAGGTTCAGAGTTGTTAAGGCTTTGGGGCCCAAATCAATGCAGGTCAGGTGACATGTGACTCTCGATGACGGTAGCGATGTTTTCGTGGCGGCGCAAGAGTCTGGAGAGTACTCAAGACTTCCCAGAGGCTCATCCTGGTTGTACTTGTTCTTTTCCCTATGTCCCAGACACTCCATGCCTACATTGACCTCCAAAACCATCCTAATGTAAGCATATACGGCATACATGGAGTGTTTGGGTATGGGTACATCCCGTGGCATGGGAATGTGTGGTTTTCCACTTTGTCCCGGTTCCTCTGGCGCGCATCTCCAAGCTTCCTAGAGGCGACCCCGTTCGCCCGGCCCCGAACCAAAAAAACTGCTGAGTCCGGGTCAAGCCACGCCACGCCCGGGACAGCGGAGTCCGGGTCGAAGGTCTGAGGCTTTCAACGCCGGATCCATAGATCCACCCTCTTAGATGAAGTTGATTGAACCCGACCCTCTTGGGTGGACCACCATGAAAAGAAAGGTCTCCACGATATCAACCTTCATCAAGAGGGTGGACGACCATGTGGATCAGTGCCGAGGGGATGTTTCAGCAATCCGACCGTAGCAGGTGGCCTTACCAAAGCCCTTGCAAGTGAGAGGCGGCCGCGCAGCTTGGGCCCGACCGGACCAGGGGACGGGTATGCCAGTGGAAAGGGGACGGGTCGGCTGCAGGCAAATTCGTTGGAATACTCCTTGGATCGAACTCCTTTGGCCTCCCATACACTCCCTGGAACTAACATGGAAGTGGAGAATGCCCCCACAAGGAAGACGATGAAATCCACTACAAACAGGTGGTGCCATCCACTTCCATGTTCGTTCCAGGGAGAGTAGAACTCCTTTGGCCTCCTTGTTTGAGAGGAAGTTGGGGCACATTGTTGGGACAGTCGGTGCTACGAAACAGAAGGGCGGCCCAGGCTCTAGGATATATGCCCGTGATATGTCTTTTTTTGGCGTCTTCAAAGACAATTCAAACCAAGTTGAAGTGCTTTTTAATGCTTTTTAGTGAAAAATCCGAAAAGGGCTCCAAGTACCTTCTGAGAAGGCTGGGTTTGGAGGGTCCAGTCATACCTTCTGAGGAGGTACTTAGAGCCCTAGCTTTTTTTTGGTGGGGGCAACGACAACACCATTGAAACGATGGTTCTTGGAATCCCTGGGTATGCATACCCAGGCCAATACTGGCCAACAGTTGGCCCCTATGTTTACGACAATGGCTACACTCTTGGCCTGTATTGAATGGTTTGGGGTGGAGCTCCATGTAGGCCAGCTTTGCGCTGGTGTCATGCCCGGAAGGCCGGGTGATGTGGTGACCAGGACTCGGTGACGGTGGGAGGACCATGGGACGATCGGAGCTGTTCACGGGTGTAAGAACAGATGAAGAGACGGAAAGCACGCCTGGTTCTTCAGTGAAGTGACCAAGAGAGGTGGAACGTGACCTGAACTAGGACCTCATTGGCCGTACCCAACTGGGATAGTCTAGTTCGGGTTCTTGAACCTCTGTTGGGACCTGTTGACAACCTGGTGGGTTCGGTCACCAACAGGCCTGGTGGCCGGTCACTTAGGGAGTTAGGGACTCCAAAAGTACGGTCACTGGTTCTGAACCAAGTGACCGAACTTGATCAGCCACCAACAAGCCTCCAAGTAGGGTCACTGGATGGAACCTTCGAAAGGTCACGAACTGAAGAAGCTGGCGGCTATTTAGTTATATTTTCTAAGATGTCAGTGATGTCAGTCCATCTATTCATGGTTCCTTGGAGGATCGGGGGCGTGCGTTAAGCTCCTTGCGAGGGATGGAAATGTTGCATGTTTTTGGCATGTTTTGGTTCATATCGCCCAAGGATCTACTCGTGAGCCTGCTCATGGAGGGCAAGAGCACTGACGCTCGGCCAAGATTAGCTCGGGCCAAGCTGAGGCACTCGCTGACACGCCGTAGGTGTGGGGGCACCTGCTCACTGGGCATCAGGAGAGTCATTGAACAGATGTGATGTGAGTTGTATCATGTTGTATCCAAGTTTTTGCTGAAGGCATTGATGTGTTTTGTTTGGGGGGGTTGGTTGGTAGCTTTGTCACTTCCCTTTCTACTGCTTGGCTTAATGTCTCACTTTGTGAGGCTGACTTTGGGACTTTGAGCAAAGCAAATCACCCGGACCATCCATGTATGGCATACCTACGGTATTTGCATACACTGACCCCAAATCAACCATCTCAATGTATACGTAAAATCTGCAAAATCCTGGTTGCTCTGGATTTGTTTTTTAGCACATAAACTACATGTAGATATATATATATACAGTTTAGGCAACATGTTTCTTCCAGTGCCGATCTTTTTCACGGACTTGGAGTTGAATTTTCCGGACCAGTTGTCCCACTCGTTCCCCACCTCCCGATGGCACCAGTCCGCGCTCTCGCGCGTGCCGAGGATTGGACCATCGCGCGGCGGTGCGCGGAACAGATTCGCAGTCCGTCCTATACGACCAAGGACTTCCATGTGCCTTGGCACGGACGTATACTGCGGCGTTTCGATTGCGTGTGTTGAGGGGTCTTTCACGGTGTTTGTAGACAGCGATGGTGTTTGTTTCGATGCGTTATTCGTGTGCCAAGTGTGAAGCTTGCGGTGACATATGGTTTAAGTCGCGATGGTGTTTGGAGATGGTGCCGAGAAGGGAGGGCGATGGTGGGAGCAAAGGGATCAGGGAATTCTTTCTTTGGTCCTTCACCCGACTTCAAGTACATGGGACATGACATATATAGAAACAGCTGCTTCTTGGTACCCATATGTCGATGCTTCTGGCCAAATGGGGCCTCAGTTGGGAGAAACCGGGGAGAAATGGTGTTCCTGTTGAACACCTTCCATGCTGCTTCCTGTCAGGATCAGTTGGCTGGATGGGCAGTGTAGCCCCAATCGGGTCGACAGGACAGGTCGAGTATGGAAGCGCTATACACTCCGACGAACACATCACATGGAAGTGGATGGCACCCCCCTGTGGGTAAAGAGGGACCACTTTCATCCACGTAACCATGTGATGTGTTCGTGGGAGTGTCATGACCCAGACAGATGTCTGGGACTGGAAGATTGACCGGCACAGACCCCTCTGGCACCAATGGACCTGGAGGCAACTATACCCGTCTGGGCTCCTGGCCCACCTCCTGAGGTGACCGGTGGGACTGGGGTGTGTGCTAGGGGGTCTAACCACCTAACCTGAGGAGATGGGCCAGGAGCCCTAGGGATATGACAGTCCCAGATGGCGGTCGTGTCTGGAAAATGGGGTCCACCCGCTCCGGACCCATCGACCGTCGAGTCTAGGGTCACGACCGACGCCCTGAGAGGTCCGATGAATTCAGGGGAAGGCTTTGATGTCCCAGACACGACCGCCATCTGGGACTGCCATATCGGACTGCCCTGAAACAGCCAGACCCCCAGTCAACCACCCCGAACGCCCGTTTCGAAGGCAGTCCTATGGCAGTCCCATGGAGTGTTTGGGTGTTGTAAAGATCTTTTCGTAAAACAGCTGGTTGTTCGGGATTCCATTAAGACAATGATGGTTGGAATCTATCGGGAGACTGGGATAGTCTATTAGGACTCTTGAACCTTTAGTTGGCCCAAGCTGATATCGTGAAGACAGTTAGAGATCGGCTTGTGCCGATCTTGCCCCCACCTTTGCCCCCCCCAGCCATATGCCAAGGTTTTTAACAATATTTGTTGATTCGTGAAGAGTGAATCTGAATCTGACGATTCTCGGCATGTACATACACGCAAGGGGGGCTGAATGAATCCTGAAATTCTCAGGAAACCTATAGGAACCCAAAATCGTCTACAGCCAGGAACCCCCCAACCCTCCCAGTCATCCTCATAAGACGCCGCCATACGCCGCCTGAGGAGGACATCACCAGGGCCTTTCCGGAGCTGCGGCTCTACTGCCTGGAGATCGACGAGGAGGAAGACATGAACCGTTCAGCCGCTGGGGAGCAGACGACCGAGTTTCGCGATCTCTCAAGAGATGGATAAAAATTCAGTTCACCTGTCTCCCAGACATGCCCGCCATTTGGGACTGCCATATGTCCTATGCTCCCAGACAGGTCGTGGGACGGGTCCGGGCGGCCGACCTTTGTGACCAGCGACCGGAGGGACCCTGATCCGGTTTGAAGAAGGAATTGAGGTTGTCAGGTGGAATTGTATGCTAAACCCCGCGCCTTTGTTTTGAAGAGGAGCTGGGTCCCATGCATCCGGGGTCACATGTGCCGAATTGATACGGGGTTTGTATACAATCTCAAGTGTTGTTGTGGACTTATAGGGCAGCGCTGCGGCAGCGCTCATGTTCAGGGTGGGGGTGGACTAACTGTTTGGGGAGAGAATGGTGCGTCCTTTGTGGGGGACAGTTGGTCGGTTCAGACCCCAGCCATTTTGGGATTCAACATGATGACCAAGACCTGGTTTTGGTCAAGCTGATTTGTCTATTTTCCCGAGCTGGGTCAATCCCCTTCTAGACCTTTGTGTTTTCCAGGTTCCTGGACAACAAATCTAAGTGACCAAGAAGTGAACTGTTGGCTTTGCAAGCTGCCCAAGCTTCGGATGTCCACCGTCGGGGAACCCGTAGTAACGTACAATCGACGTAAAACCAAAAAATACAATCCGTTACGGCGTTGACGGGTTGAGAATTGCCACATCAGATGGAACCAAGCAAAGGCATGCTAGAGTTACTACAGTTTTCCAGTTGTTTCCAGGTATACGAGGTATTGCAAGGTGCCTGTGTTTTGGCTCAGCCTTTTCTTGTTCCTAGAGCCCTGCTGTAGGTGTTCCCAGTCTGCAACATGTCTGCCGAACTTGGCTTTGTGGATGAAAACGCGGAAATGTTGCACAGTTGGAAGATCCAACAAGTCTTGATTGTTTGGCACACAAAGCCCGTAACAACCATGAGCTCTTTGGTCAGACCTTCTCAGAAGGTACTTGGACCCTCCTGGGGCAACCACCCCAGTCCCACCAAAGTGGCACGGATACACTTGGAGCCCACTTGGAGCGTCCGCTGTTCCACCGCGGCCTCGAGGGAAACCAAAGGTACCCCAAAAATACCGACCTTGGACCGATCCCACCAGCGAGCGCAGGGAGGGCGATTGGGAAGACCTTTGGGCCTTGGGTGACTCTTGGGAAGACCCCACCCAAATCCAACGGCTTTGGAAGAGTATTAGGACCAGGAAGACAGTATTACCCAGACACTCCATGTATGCCATATATGCCTACATTGGGGTGGTTTGAGGGGTCAACGTAGGCATATATGGCAGTCCCATGGAGTGTCTGGGTTAGGAAGACAGTATTACGGCGATTGGGAAGACCAGAGACTCTGGGTGACCGTCTTTCTTTTCCAGAACATCTGTTGCGAGAGTCTTGGGACCGGAACCCTCCCGACTCGGGGCAGAAGCCACCTCCGACTGATTGGCCAAATTCGGCAGTGGAGTTTGGATTTACGGTGGAGGTTGGGTCACAGAAAAGCACGGTGTTTCTGAATGCCCAAAAAACACCCATCTATAGGTGGTGGTTTCGGACATTTGATATGTTCAACCTTTACTTTAGATGCTGGAACCCGCTGACTCAGATGATATACATATGGTTTAAGTTGAAACCGCCAACCAGTTATGGACTTTGAAGGCTCGGCGCGTTCCCGAGCCAAAGGCGAATCCCTCCAGGAGCATCTCTACTGGTCACCTGGCGTCCGATGAAGGAGAAAGAGACATAGACGTCCGAGCCAAAGCCTCCATGGGCCGCCCTCAATGAAGCGAAAGAGATCACTCACTCTGGACCTGAAAAAGAGGGTGTCCTGTTTGGAGGTCCCTACTGAGTAGGGCTGGGGGCGAAACCAGCCAGGTGACTTTTTTTGAAGGTGCTGGTAGGTTTGTTTGGATCATTTTTCGGAAACAGTTGCTAATCCAACAGGTGGAAACAGGTGATTTTCGAGGGAAACTCAGGGAGTCAGAGGAACACTTTGATTCGATCGATGGTAGACATTGGTGGACTGGGCACATACTAGTCGGGGAAGAACTTTGCCAAGAAAGGATAGACTGACGGCAACCCTGCAACGAAGTGTATAGCGAAGCTATCAATGAAACACACTCCATGTATGGAATATTTTTTCACCACCCCACATGGGGGATACCTATCAAAAAGGAAATTCACGAAAGCTAGCTGGAGTTACTCTTGCGATAGCAAGGTTTCTTTCGACCGGGTGCAAATCCTAACCCCTGATTTTTCAGGTCGAAGACCCCCCCCCTGAAATGTAGAGGCCTACTTGTACAGGTTCCACTCCAGTGGCCTATCTAGTGTGTCCATGCTTGACTGCCATAAGGTTCAAGAGGATAAGACTCTGCGTAGAAAAAGACACTAGCGGTCTGCACCTCAACCGTGTACGCCCTAGTCACTCTTTCAGTGGTAGCGGAGCAGTGATCCTGGAAGACCCAGGTGAGCTCCTTTCCTAGGCATAGACTTGCTTTTAGGCAAACGGCCATGGATTGGATTGACGACTGGGAAGAGCTTGATGCGGATGTGGCTTATGAGCCAGCAGCCTATGTGAATAGGCATGTGGGAAGAGAACCAGCAGCTATAGCAATGACAACACAGGTCACTACAAAGGTGCCCCCATCTTATGATGGAAAGACTTCATGGTTTTCCTATGAGGATGCCATAGACGATTGGTGCGATATCACCGAGGTCTCTGTGCAAAAGAAGCCGCTTTCCTTTTGAATTTAGAATTTTCTGAAGGATTGACAGCTCTGGCTATTTAAGGGCTATTGAGCGCCGGTACTGGTATCTTCGCCGGTGAACGATACAGTCTCCAGCCGAGATACATTGTCTTTGACTTTGTATTTGAGGTGAGTAAGCTATCGCTCCCTCACTGTATCTAGTATACCTTGAGATTACCTTTTCTATAGTGTGCAACACACTGGAATTGGTAAGTACAGGGCACCGTAGTTTCCTTTTTAAGCTTACTAGAGCTTGCTGGACTGTTTTAGCCTTACGGTGGAAAAATAGTGTGCGACATACGCAATAGGCTGGAGTGGACATGAATTTTGTGCCTGCTGAAATGTAGAGGCCTACTTGTACAGGTTCCACTCCAGTGGCCTATCTAGTGTGTCCATGCTTGACTGCCATAAGGTTCAAGAGGATAAGACTCTGCGTAGAAAAAGACACTAGCGGTCTGCTCCTCAACCGTGTACGCCCTAGTCACTCTTTCACCCCCCCCCCCCCCCCCCTCCCCCCCCTCTCCTCCTCCTTGTCTTCCTCCCATCTTCCCTCCCTCCCTCCTCCCTCTTCGCAAGTTCGACTCCGTCCTGTCGTCGCTCTTTGGCATGCGGTTAGCGTTGCGTATCTTGCGGCCGCACTCGCTCACTCTCACTGTCTCACTGTCTCTCTCATATCTCTCATCTCTCTCATCTCTCTCTCATCTCTCTCTCCTCTCTCTCTCTCTCTCCTCTCTGTCTCTCGTCTTTCCGTCTCTCTTCT